AAGAAATAAAAGCTTTATAAGGAGAAAGTAGAAGGAAATGGAGGAAAAGGATGATAATCGACTATGAGGATGAGACCACCAATCGATAACGATGAAAGTAAAAGAAAACGAAAAAATACGAACGGTTGAACCTTCCAGAAAACTCAACCAAACTCCAAACGGCGGAGACGAAACTACGGAAAACGGGAAAGACTAAGAAATCTACTCAATAGATAGTATGAGCATTAACCAGAGGAACATGTTATATTATGAATTCTCATCATGTTCACATAAATTGGTGCACCAAGAAGTTTTATATGAATGGACTTTGAGTGTTGCTGAACGCCAGTCAATTTCATATGTACGGTCTAGCGCATAATTTCCTTTTCTTGACAAATGTGCCGTAGCCGTGCACCAGCATTATCTTCACATAAGGTGGGTTATAAGCGGTGTCTACTAAGATTGAAAGAACATCTACAGCGAGAGGCATAATTTGTCAGGGTTTAATTAATTTACAACGGCTTGGTCTTCGACTGATACGCTTTGCAATCGGCATATTTGCAAAAGAAACAGCTGCAACTAGGAAAAAACTGGGTCAGGCTATCAACTTCCTTCGCATGTTATCGGAGTTCATAGTTTCTTTTGAACGATAGGTGATAAACTTCGTAACATTTGCACTTTAACGTTGTCTCTTGACCAAAAAATAGCTTCAAAGTGAAACGACACCTGTACATTGGACTATTTGCCCTGAGAATACGTACGTGCATTAGTCGTACTTTAGTGTGTCGAAGAAAAAGCCATGTACGAAAAACGTGGAAGCTCCCTCAATGGGTGTATGTGTACTAACCCACTATGTATGTTAACATCAAGAACATTCGCGATAAATTGAGTAATTCTGCATTTCTACTAAACTAAGTTTTCCAACTCACACGCTTAACAAGCAACATTATTCATTCATAAAAACATAAACAATGAATTAAAGTACCAAGCAACAAGCACTACTCTTCTTTCTCTTCTTCCACTGCTTTTCTACGATAATAGCATTTCTTAACAATGCCGTTGAAATACCCAATATAACAGAGCATGACAGCTCGGAACAATCCTGCACAGGAACTCTGAAAAATAAGATTCCAAAACACTCTATGTAGAGTTGTACTTGAACAAGGGCCCTGGCTAAACTTTTTTCTGGAGAAGCACCAGCAGTTAAAACGCCAAGCATCCAACCGTCCAATCCAATAGTGGTGCAGTATTGACCAGACTCAATATCAGCCAAGTGCGCAACAGCAACATCCTGAGGAGAAAACAGACCGGCCGAGTCAGACATCAACTTAGTCTCTTCAGGCATTGTTTCTAACTCAACCTAAACAAAAGATAGACATGTTGGTTCACTGTACCCAGAAGAACCTTGAAACCTTCAGTATCAGTGTTTGGTGGATAAAGGAGAGAAACATTGATTTTGTACGGTAAGAGCTCCATATGTAGAACATCAGCAAAGCCTCTGAGCGCAAACTTAGTGGGAGAATAAGCTGAATATCCGTAAATGGCACATTGACCAGCAGCAGAAGAAACAAAAGATATGTGGCCGGCACGACGAGCTTTCATTCCTGCCACTACAGCTCGAGTCATGTAAACCTGGGTCATTCAAAAATAATTTGAAGAATATTAAAATCTCACCGCACTCAGATAATTTACTTTCATCTGCTTCTCAAAATCTTCAACCTTAATATCTTCAAACCCAGATTGAACACTGTGACCAGCATTGTTGATGAGTATGTGGACAGGACCAAAATCTACTTCAGTTTTTCTCACAGACTTCTCTATCTGCAACACTGTTAGTTGAAAACTAGTTTGATCTTCCACGTACATCTTCGAAATTCTTTGTGAGATCTATAGAAGCCCATTGAACTTTTTGTTTTTGTCCCATCTGATCAGCTAGAAGCTGAAGCTCTTCACAAGTGGCCTGAAAAAAGATCAAATTATTGTATATGAACCGCCGAAAATTAATCATACTTTCAAGTCATTTTCATTTCTGGCCACAATGGTAACATGACACCCTTTCAAAATCAACTGATGAGCAATTTCTTTCCCAATACCTTTGGACCCGCCTGAAAAACAAGACTAGGAGTGCCGTTCAATAGTAACTAGCCTGTGACCAGAGCATGCTTTCCTCTCAATTCAATAGTTTTACGAGAAGGAGTAGAGAAGTAAATAACCAAAATAAAAACAAGTAATACAGCAAAAGACAAAATTGGAATTAACCAGAGATAAACCAGAGCAGTCATGTTAAAACTCTTGGTCGTATTCTGTTAGCTAAAAAAATATTTAAAAAATCATCCATCAAAGAAAACCTACAGCATTAAAATGAACAGCTATTCTCTCTTTGTAAAATTGACCGAAGCAGGAAAGAGCAGCCCAAATAAGTTGTATATCAGACCCGGCAGCAACAACACTTCCTTTCCTTGTTGAGGAATCGAAGTAATCGACCTGTAATCAATTGCTTTCATCGATAATCAGTTGTTTACCTTGAAGTTAGGTCCACAGGTCCCTAAAAACTCTTTCACGGCTACAGAAACGAGAAGTTTGAATTTGTCTTCACTTAAATCTTTCGTGGTTTCTCTAAAACGTGTATTGCATACTCATCAAAAATCAATAATTGATAAGAAATATTTTGAAAGGTTGTTAACCCACACTTTGACCATCAAGCGAGCGTACTCAGCAGTAACTTTATTGATCTTTCCCATAAATCTGTGGTATGAAACTCCCTCAGTAAACCTGGAAAAACTTCTGTTTGAAGAATTCAAGAAGATACCACGCGTAATGCCATTTCAACTTTCACTAGAATTGACCCAACTTTTAAATGAATTGGAGCGCGCTTCAAGCTATGTTTAATTAAAATTAATTAAATAGAAAAGAGCTTTATTATGAGTAAATTGGTCATAAACGACATCAAGACTCCACTTTCTTTCAATTCTAACGTATATGTATTTCTTAATCATTGAATTCAACAAAAGATAAAGCAGTTCTTACACTTTTATCTCAAAATGACAAGTAAACGAAGAAAAACAAATACAATCTCATTCAAATGATAGTGTTCTACAAGGAATTAATAGCTTCTGTAAACGTTTTATTTTTTCGCAGATGCTTAGGTATGAGATTGTTCTTCTTTTTTGCTTGTTGTTTCATTCTCTCTGAACGAGCTTGCTCTCTCAAGCCTTTAACTTTCGCCATATTTTTGAGACAGAACTTCTCAAGCATTTTATCGAGAAGTTCATTATCTGAACAAGTAGTCTAGAGTTTCTATAACTTTGACTCACAACGAAAAGCAGACTCAATCTCCCAACTGAAGGTGCACTGAGATTCCGATATCCATCTGACTTTGTAAATCAAACGAGTACATGTACGCTTGCAATCCACTATAGCGTCTATATTGGTAACTTCTGAATCCTCGATCAACATCTGTAAGTTTTCGAGTATAAACATAACTATGTACATGAAAAGAAAGAGTATAATCGATCTCATAATCAACATCATTAGCGCGCGCTCATTCAAAGTGCACGGAAATTTGAAACAGGGAAATTGAAATTTGCAATTGATGATGCAAGCAAATCTGTGAGTATTAGATTTTTAAGCTGACTGAGATTATTTTCGGGTCTTATAGGTGTGAGCTTACTTTGCCAAACAAGTTTGTTTTTTCTTGTTGCGAAATCAGAGTAAAAAAGAGAAATATTCATTCATAGACACAGACAACAATATCCTATGCGGCAAGACAGCTTGATCACTGATTTAACAACTTCTGACGAATAGCTGCTACTTCTTTTTCCAAAAATGCAACATTTTCTTTCAACTTTGCATTTTTATCTTCTAGTAGCTCTTTCTCATCCATTAGCTGACGCCACCTTGAATTATATGATAAGTCTCTATTAATGAGATTAGTCAGGATTACTTGTTCTTTTGACGATCTCTGTATTTTGATGCTGCCTCTTTGTTTTGCTCTCGTTTCCTACATAAAGCTGATGCAGCGCGACTAACATCTGAAAAAATTTCAGAGCCTCTTAAGAAAAAACTGTTTTTGGAGAAATACCATCCAATGATGCTCCAGCTGTCATGAGTACTATATTCACAAGTTTGCTGAAAGGGATAGCTTTTATATCCTCTGTATTGTCTCCGAATCTGAGGTAGAAAAAATAGAATTACTCTACACAACGTGAACATACTTAATATGACAGGATGCACAGTCATCCTTGGCCAATAAATGCTCACACTCTTCATGAATCTCTTGGAGTATTTTTTTCTTGTCGGGCTCATTCATTTCAGGGAGGCGATCTTCGCATTGAGGAGGACATGGACCATTATTCCAATTGAACTGGCATGCCAGTTTCGAGTGATTAACGTCAGGTACATGGTTGAGTTCTGAACACTTAGATCTTGCTATTATTTAGACAATTGTTTTACCGTTTTCAGCGAAATAATAATGGCAACGTGCATGATTGTGCGAATGACTAGGGTCATGTAATTCATGTTGCTCTTGCAATTCAAGTGACTCAACAGTTTGATGCGACTCTTGATGAGAGTGAGAGTGAGAATGAGAATGAGAATGAGAATGAGGATGATGATGATGGTGGTGATGGTGATGGTGGTGATGAGAATGATCGTGCTGCTGGCTATTCACATGATCTTGAGCTCCTGTTACATCATATGAATGCGATATTTGACATCCTTCAGAGAGCTTACCAGTTTGAAACGTTGGTGGCTGAAGATATTATCATTACTTGTTTAACATTGTTTTATTTTTTCTTGTAAACAGTTTTTCTCGCAAACCTTAGCTTATTATTGTACTAGTTAAATGAAATGTTCATAGCGAAAATTCATTTCATGAGTAATGTATTTCAATTGTGGAGATGAATGTACCTGGAAGCAGGGCATATGATCTTGAGAATAATGGGCAAAATCATGGTGCTGCATTTTTGTATCGGCCGCGAAATCATCAGCGCTAAATCAATACAATTGGTTCAATTATTAAAATGACAAAATAATGTTTAATGTGTAGAAAAAACTCACCTACAACAATCCCACATGTTTTCTCCAGAATTTTGCGCCTGGTGGTTGTGTCAGAACAGACAGAAAGATAGAACCGTTTAAGCTCCGCGATAGACCTTGAAGAGGGTGTGAGATAAGGAGGGGGAAACAGACGTAAATGATCGTTGAAATATAAAGAGAATGAGAGAGACTTTGATCGAATAAGAAATTCCTTGTTTCCGTGTTATATTGTCCTTTACCACTAATATTTTCGAGATTTCCCCTTCTATGATTCGATAGGAACTGTTCACACTCGAAAATTCAACGAGAATTCATGACTTCATCGGATTTCTAACTGAACGGTTCTTGAGATTGTTTTTCGCAATATTACGTCTATCAATATAAAAGAGTATAATACGACAAGAAACTTTATAAAATATACAGTAAAAAGGAACTCAGAAACGTTCGTAACATTGGCTTGACACACCGATGGAGAAACCACGATGAATCTTCTTCATTACAGTGGGGAAATCGTTTGAAAACATTCAATTTCTAAAGTTCAAAGTACATTCTCGAAAATCAAAAAAAGAAATGCTGAATAACCAAGTCGATAAAAAAGTTTAGAATAGTTCAGTTCAGGTATCAGGATAGCACATTGTTCTATGAGGTGAACGCTGTACGCAATTTGGAGTGAAGTTTGGATATTATAATATCACTGATTAGTATCTCTCGGTACAGTTGTCGCTGATCTTTGATATTCATTATATGAACTTCGTTCCATGAATCGTATAAAGCATTTTCGTAGCTTCTCAACATCAATCAGCCAGCTTACAAAGAAGGTAATCGTCCATATTTGGTTCTTGAACTTTAGTTGTTTCAGAAAAATATTTCTCATTCTTCTCATAAGCAAAGTGATGTAAATTCTTCTTATAAAGTAACTACATCTCGTGGTAATTGAACGCTAGCTTACTTCAACAATTAAGTTTAAGGTATGATCAATGAAATATTCCCGAAACTAGATTATCTTCTCGTTTTGGACTTCGAAGCTACATGCGAAGCCGATTCATTGATTTTGCCTTGTCAAGTTGGTCATCGAATTTTCTGATAATTAGAAGTGTTCTGAATGTTCAGGAAATAATAGAAATGCCGGTTATTGCTTTGGACACTGAGACATGGGAAGAGAAAGCAAAGTTTCATCAATATATTACGCCAACAGAACGCCCCATATTAACATCTTTTTGTACCCAACTCACGGGTATCATTCAAGTGGGAATCGTTTATTGGAGTTGGAGTGTTAACTGTTCAATTTGTTAGGAAATGATAGAAGGCAAACCACATATCAATGACGCTCTTGAAATGTTCCACGAATGGCTCAAGCAGGTCTGCCGCGTAACACTAATTATACGTAATATATCTTTAGGAAAACATTATTGACTCCAACTTCGCTTTCGTGACATGTGGAGATTGGGATTTGAAAGTTGCATTGCCGAATGAAGCAAAATTCAAAGGAATAACTTTGCCAGAATACTATTCCCGGTGGATAAATGTCAAAAAATCGCATGGTCAGTATACTGGGCAGTTCGCAAAAAGCCTTTCTGATCTATTGAGCTTTTATAACATCAAGCATGAAGTGAGTTTCATTCTACGTGCGTTTCATTTTTGAATTGCAAGGGACGACTTCATAGTGGGATAGATGACGCTAAGAATATTGCTGCAATCGTAAAAGCTTTAGGATTTGAGGGACACAAATTCAGGTTAGAGCCGCCACATCCTATCACATCATAAAAGTCTAAATTGGTTTGCAGAGTGAATAGTGGTTCTAGTTACAAGGAGAGGCTATTCAAACGGAGTCCTGCTAATTGAAATGAGCATAAAACGTTCCTGCTCCAGAAACCACGGATCAGCCCTGGTATTGGACCAGACAATCTTCAGCTCGAAAAAAGAATGCTGTCTGATAGATGATACAACAAACCTATACTTGTAGTAATCACCTAACACTCGAAAACTTAATATTCAGATCTCAGTTAATTGATTCTCGTCTTCATATCGTGTATTAGGTATAATAAACATTCTTTCTGTAAGTTGGTTATTTGAATTATTCACATCGTTAGGTTCCTTGAGAAGCAGTGTAAGAAAAATATTGTAGAACTTAATAGTGAACGCTATGAACCTTATGAGTTTTCATTTCAAGAGTGCTGGGGCTATAGATCGGTTGTTCTGTATAAATTGTGTTGATCTTAGATTAAAGAATGAAGTATCACCATAGCTTGGAAGTATTCTTCCTTTCTACTGTTTCGATGAATGTATCCAATAGTTTTGAGATAGCATCATCCACCTATGAAAAAGAAAAAAAATCGTTTGTTCTTGTTTTCCCGATATACCTCTAACAAATGAGTCCCATCCTCTACTAAAGTTATTTCCACGTCCTTACTCCTCAGCCTTTTTGCAAGTGATAAAGAGTTTTGATATGGAACTGTCTGAATTGAGTAGTTGTAAACGACATTGTTATTTGTATGTTATAACATCATCTTTCTTTCCATGAACTATATGAACAGGACATTCGATTCCAATTTCTCCAGAAGATGTTGTGACACAGGTCTACAGCGAATGCATTATTTTGAGTAAAACGCAGTTTAATACATCAATGAAGCTTTGAAATCCGTCATAGTCAACTAAGGCAGGATATCCGTTTCGAGAAGCTGGATGTACAAGTTTTTTGCCAGCTTTCAGCAACTCTGCTGCACCGGGAGCTATGCGATCACAATAAGACATATTCAGATTACTGCCAGGAGAAAAAAGAAACAATCCCTAAAAATGTATAAGCAATAATAAACATGATAATGGTTTACTTTGACATTTTCAGGTAACTCTCTCGCTGCATTCAGAGCGCAATGTCCTCCAGCACTAGATGCAATGAGTATCCATTGATCGTTTTCTGAAAACGATGAATATTATGCAGACCATCGATAGATAAATCGCAACTGATCCTATTCTTGATATCATCCTTCCATTCTGAAATCCTCCAGACTTTTTTGGCATCACCAGGGTTTGTATAAACTAATCTGAAACTATTGATAACCATCTCCTGGTGCCACCAAATTACCTTTCAAAGTAATGATCTTTTCCATTGAAGTAGGTTACCAGCGCCTGTCCAGTGCGATTATGGATGGAAGAGCCAAGGCCGTGGCAGTAAAGAAACTTGAGTGCTCTCCTAGCCATCATTTAAAAACCCAAAACTTCAACAATCATTAAACACATGCTCTCAGTATGGTTATTTGAGTCGAAACTCTCAAACAAAGAAAAAGCTATCACAAAAGAGGCCGAAAACATTTTGAATACCGACTAAAGATATATGGGGATCAACCGATGTCTAACAGCGACGTTGTTTGACCTACAATAGACGTAAAGGGAAATATTCACATCAAACTGATAAAACATTTATTAGCTTATTACGAAAAGTACAGGAGCTACTTGTTTCAAATGTTGTTAATATTCAAACGTGATAGTTTTTGTGAGAAGATACTCATTCAAAGCTTCCATTCCTGAAATTAGAAAAATAGACGGATGGCTGCTTAGCAATCATACCCAAATCTTTTCCAAAACCAGATTGTTTGAAACCACCGAACGGGGCGGCGACATCAGTCTTTTGATACGTGTTGACAAACACTGTTCCAGCATGGAGTTCAGAAGAGACACGAAGACACTTTGAGATATCCTGTAGAGATTTGTTTTTTTAGTTCCAATTTCATACTAATAATACCTGAGAGAATACACCAGCGGCAAGCCCGAACTCAGTTGCATTAGCACGACGAATAACCTCAGAAATGTTACTGAAGAGAATTTAGGAAGTCATCATAAATGAAATTTCACTCACTTTTCATCGAATTCGCTCACACACATGATAGGACCGAATGATTCTTCTTTAGCAGCGAAATTAGCGTCATCAACATTAGACAATATGGTAGGAGGGAAGAACAATCCAGGACGATCCATACGAGCACCTCCGATTTCCACCTGTAACTTTCTACATGACTTATTTACAAAAACTTTACACAACCTTAGCTCCATCAGCAACCGATTTCTGAACATATTCAACCAATTTATCAAGATGAGCTTTATGATTCTGAGGTCCATGAGCGGTACTACGATCCAAAGGATCTCCGATAACATATTTTTTGGTTTCTTCGATCAGTTTTTTCAGGAAACTATTGTAAATCGAGGACGCAACGAAAATTCTTCCGGCAGCAATACAGTTTTCTCCCTTATTGAAAAACACTGCAGTGCACGTTTGCTTCACTGCACGATCTAGATCAGCATCGGGAAATATGATAAGAGGTGATTTTCCACCCAATTCCAGTGACACTTTTTTTATGTTAGACTTAGCGCAACTGAACAAACAACGTAAAGGAAAATAACACGAGTTATCAAACCTAGACATTACTTGGGCTCCTACATCTGTCGAACCAGTGAAAGCAATTTTTCTGACGTCTGGATGATCAGCAAGAGCTTGTCCAATTTCACCTTGAATCATGCGATTTTCGGTTCATGCAGTTTCATTAAACTCACTTCCTGATCCGGTCACAATATTGATGACACCTTCAGGAATTCCAGCAAGAACAGAGAGCTCAGCAAATTTGAGAGCAGTCAATGGTGTGACCTGAAACATGGTTACTACTGATGTGACATAAATGGATTGATAAACCTGAGCTGGTTTGTGTACAACCGTATTACCAGCAGCCAGACAAGCAGCCATTTTCCAACTGAGCATCATCAGAGGATAGTTCCAGGGGGTAATCATACCCACAACTCCAATAGGTTCTCGCTTAGTTATGCACAGGTTATGGTTGGGACGTGCATCAGAAATAGGTATTGTTGTTCCCTTGAAAGATTTTCTTTGAAGAACTTCGCAAAATCAGTTACTTGAATTTTATCACACCATCCAGCGAAGTACCTCCATGAGTCGATGGACATACCAACATGGGTTTTGAGTGCTAAAGTGTAAACGGCACCTGAATCTAACGACTCAAGAGTTGCCAGCTCGTCCTTATGTTGTTCCATCAAATCAGCCAGTTTCAAGAGCCGTTTACCGCGTTCTCGAGCTGACATTTTCTTCCATTCTCCATTCTCGAATGCCTAAAACATGATGAGTTCAAGAAAACACAGCACAAAGCTTTTACATTTTTAGCAGCCGCTACAGCTTTGTTCACATCAGCAATGTTCGCTTTTGGCAACGAGCAAATAACTTGCTCTGTCGCAGGGTTAATAGTCTCGTAAGTTCTAAAGACAGAACAAATCAGAACATTATTGACAGAAGTCCTATACCTTCCGCTAGCTGAAGGTTCAAATTTACCGTTAATGAAGAGCTCATGAGGAAACTTCAATTCTAGCCCGTTCGCGTTGATAACGATCTGAACTTTCATTAAGAGCTCTATCTTTGTCGTAAACTTACGGCATCATATGTAACAGTAATAGTGTCTCCTCCTCGACTTTTACGAATTATCACATCAATACTATCTGCAAACTTAGAGGCCATGTATATCTGAAAGAAAAAATAACTAAGAAAACCATGGATTAACCAACATCAGTGTTTTCTAGCTCAATTTTAGTATTGAACTTAAGTTCTTCAACAAGTCTTGTCACATCGGCTGAGCTAGCACCAGCTTCAAAGAAATCAGTCTCATCCGAAACTGGTTGCTTCAGAATAGCCTCCCAGATACCCTTCAAAACGAATTATCAAGGAAATACAATGTATTCTCACCCGTGTGACGTTAACAATTTTCTGCTCTTCATCAGTTAGAACAAGTGCTTCTCCCTTTTCCTCTACTACTCCATACTTGCTGGCAGGAATAGTTTTAGACCCAATTTTAATAGTGTCTATATTAACCTATGAAAAAATAGTAAAAAAATAAACTTCAAGCTTTCAATACATAGTAACCATCCGATCCCGGAAGAAGTAATCCTCCATCATGAGCAATTACTTCAAAGTTTCTCTCACTGATTACTATTTTTCTTCCCTCAGGAAGAGAACTGGATTTCCATTTAGTACTTCCGAAAAATGTTATCTTCTCTTCATTAAAGGTCGACCAAGCGCCGGGAACCTGTGATCCAAATTTTTTTAGCAGAGAAAACTCTCGTCATACCTTATCATTTCCCCTGATGAAATTGTGTAATTCATCACGAGTTTTGTTCCAATCAACTTCTGCTAATTCAGGTTTTGTAGTGATGTAAGGCTCATATGATGCTCCTTCAACAGGTTGGACAATTCTAGGAGCTTTTCCAGCAGCTATCAATTCAACTGCCTCAGCCTGAAATTTACAATCGCTCAGTCTTAATTCAATGTATGCCTAAACAGCGCCCGTTGCATTGCAGAGAGAAATGAAGCAGAACAGTTCGTTTCAAACAGCGGGCTCAAACTTGTAAAATAAATAACTTTACCATAGCATCAACTCCAGCAGGATACAAGAATCGTTTATAGAGCGAGTTCAATGTGTCATTTTCCTCGACCCTAAATGGGTTCAAATTTGGAAGCACTCTTGCTCAGAACTAACTTGCACTTTTTTTGCAACAAAATTGGTCCAGTATCGAGTCCATCATCAGCCCAAAATATACTCAACCCTGCTTCTTCATCTCCTTCTATTAGGGTCCAGTTGATGGCAGAAGCCCCTCTACAAATATACCAATAATTTAGTAGTTTTTTAAGATAAGAACCTATGTTTTGGTAAAATCGAGGGATGATAAATAATGCTTTTATATTCTGGAGCTTCGGTAATATCCAAGGGAATGAACTGGGTGCAGAAAGGGAGAACGTTCAATTCAGCTCCGAACGATTTGTAAAGTTTGAGCATTTCCGGAATAGTCTAAGCCACTGGATCAGAATAATTTGTTTAAGAATTACCTCGAATTTCCCTTCGGCATTCTTTCTTCTCCAACGGGAAGGCTTTTCAACAGGAACACCATCATTAGCAGCTTCGAGAGCTGAAAAATCGAAACTCTTATGATAAATATTGTTTCGCTAACCTAGAAGATCTTCTCTGCCATTCTTATCAGGGATGGTGAAGACTACGACAATTTCATGTCCATTACTACGTAAAGCTTTGTACACATCTACTCCGAAGGCAGATTGTCCAATGATAGCTATTTTCATTCTAAACTGAAGTAAATGAGCGAGTCGTAAACGTCACAAATAGGAACACAATGCGGACAAACATAGAAAACAGGTCATCCTACATAGGCAGATAAACGTAATTGGTCAAGGGTTATAGGCGGAGACTATGATAGTTTCTCTAAACTGTATTAAGTTGAGATGGTGTAGTCGTACGCTACAGACAACGTGGTGATAAATTCGGTACAACACAACCTTTAATAGAGTAGAGTAGTTGAGATAGCAACAAACAACATAGTTGATAAAATCGAGAGAACAACCAATTCATATCAAGGTTCATTTTTTCTGTAATGGATAATATCCATTTCGTTTCGATAGAAAGTTTTCCAGTTTAGTTCGCGCCAAATATGAAAGTGTCCTCATTCTTTTGTTGTTTGCTCCGTCGGATTGTGCATTGATGATTTTGTAAATGAAACTTAATTAATTATATTCATTTTATTATCACCGAAAACACAAAACACTCCCTAAGATAACATTACTGTTATCATTTGATGAAGTGGATAACTTATTACGAGAATTAACAGCACGCTAGATAAGAAAATCGATTAAAACTGCTTGACAGCATTGACGATGTGGCGGGCCGAGATTCCAAACAAGTCAACCAAATCATCAGGTGGTCCTGAGCGAGGAACATCGTGAACGCATAGAGAACGAACTCTAACAGCTTCATCAGCCAAAGCAGCAGATACCTAAAATAAAATATAAGATTATACAAGGAATTGGTTTTCACTGTTTCTCCGATTCCTCCAGCTGGATAATGATCCTCGACAGTTAAAACTTTACCACCGACGCGCTGGGCTTGTTGAAGAATGGTTTGCTTGTCAATAGGCTTGATGGTGAAAGGATCAATGACACAAGCATGGATGCCTTAATTTTATAATGTTTAGAGTACATATGTTGAAACTGACCTTCCTTCTCTAGTTGGTCAGCAGCCTTGAGACATTCATAAAGAGTAACTCCTGATCCAATAAGAACAATCTTGTCCTGAGGAGATTGTTTGACAATCTGATGATTTAAGTTTAGATCAACAGAAAAGAGTGATGTTCAAAAAATACCTTAGCTTGTCCAACTTGGAATACTTCATCATTGTCATAAAGAACTTCTAGTGCTGGGCGACCTGTTCTTATGAAAACCATTCCTCTGATATTAGCAGCAAGCTCAGTGGCTCGTTCAGCTGAGACAGCATCAGTGGGGTAGAAAACAGTTGAGCCAGGAATAGCACGGAACATAGCCAAGTCCTAGATAGGTGGGAGACATCAGATACATTTGCTTTGCACAAACCTCGAGAGCCATTTGGGATGGTCCATCTTCTCCGATGGAAACTCCAACATGAGAACCAGCAAACTTCACATTTGCAAATGAAACAGCTCCCATGCGGATTTGATCAGCAGCACGAGTGAAGAAAGCAGCAAAAGTGCTACAATGTCATATTGAGGTTCTTCTTCTCATAATAGCCAGATATACCTTGTGAATGGAATAGTTCTGTCTCTGCATTGAGCACCGACGGCAACGCCAACAAGATTTTGTTCAGCAATGAAACATTCAATGAACTGGTTGGGATGTTTCTATCAAAAAAAAAACAATAACACCGTTACAAGGAGGTTGAACAAACATTTAGAAGTTTGTCAGAGAAAGTAGAGTTTTTGGTATCACCGTCAAGCCCAATGACTCTGGGACTTGCGTCACCAAGCTTAGCAAGAGCTGTTCCATAAGCAGCGCGAGTAGCAACCTACGAAACAAATAAGTTAGGCAGAATCGAAACAAAGTTACCTTTTCTCCCTTCTTGTAAGTTGGAGTAGCAATCTTGATCGACCCTAGTTGAAGATCAACCACAGGAGCATCATTCAGTGGCTTAGAAGCTACAAGTTTGCCTTTTTGACTTCCGTGGAAACGAGCTTTAATTGCGTTGATCTGTAATGCGAGCCATATGAAAAATGAGGTTTATAGTGAACCTTATCGGCCGCAACAGGCTTTCCATGCCAGTTATCGAGGTCTTCCACTCCCTCAATTCCTTTTCCCTTCAATGTTTTACAAATGATAGCTGTTGGCTTTCCCTAAAGTCATAACGTGTCAACATAACTCCCAGTTTAGGTAACCTTGGTATTTTTGGCAGTTTCATAAGCAGCAATCAATTCATCGATATTGTGTCCATCGACAACAATCGAATGGAATCCAAAAGCGGCAAAACGAGCCTGTAGCACTGAATAAAAAAAACGTGTTTTTTTATCTTCTTACCTGATAAACTTCAACACTATGCCCAAGGGCAGTTTGTTGTGATTGGCCGAGTCTGTTGACATCTACGAGTGCAACTAGATTGTCCAGGCTGTAGTATGAAGCAAAGGCTGTAAGAAATCCAGAAAGTTCATAAGCTGAAATAAGTATTCACTCACCAGCGGCTTCCCAGACAGATCCTTCAGCACTTTCTCCATCTCCTAGCAAGCAGTAAACGCGATAACTGGCCTTATCAATATTTTTTCCGACATATGCCATACCAGCAGCACAAGAAAGCCCTTGTCCCAAAGATCCGGTAGCAACATCGATGAAGTTCAATCTCTAAAAAGCATTCTTTCTCTTTATTATGGTGTTCTAATACGAACTGGAGTAGGATGTCCCTCAATGTCGGAGTCAATTTTTCTCAAAGAGAGAACTTGCTCGTGAGACAGTAGACCAGCCTCTTCCCAAGCAGCATACAGAATGGGGCAAGCATGTCCCTAGAGTTATCGATAGAAAATGCGATAACAAATCAATAAACCTTGGAAAGAACGAAACGATCAGCGCTAGCAGATTTAGGCTCAGCGATGTCATACTTCATTTCATGGAAGAAGAGAGTAGAGATGATTTCAGCTGAAAAAAAGTTCATGTCCCAATATTATGAATTTACTAACCTGCAGAAGTAGAAGAGGATGGATGTCCACTCTTGCTAGCACAGGTCATTTCTATAGCAGAGATACGCATGCGATTTGCAGCATCTTCTAAATCCAAACGAAGTTGTTCCGCAACCATTTTACCTAAACGTAACGATCTTAACTGTGAAAAATAAAATAACGGCAAAGAATAGGGACTGTGACTACTTGACGTGCCCGAACAAATAAAGAGACAAACAGTGCTGGCCCGATACGTGCCGATTAACACGCCATCAGTGATGTACGCGAATTGATAAGTGGCAAAAAGGAAGAAGAACATTCGCGAATGTAAACTGCTAGGGCAGGCAAACTCGTACGATCAAAAATGATGAGAATGAAAAGAAAACGTGGCCTTACTCAGTCACCTCATTTTTGGTGTGGCGCTTTTGGAGCGGATGACAGAAAATTATGGTATGGAAAATTCCACATAAGAAATGTTAAGTATCATAGGTAATTGTTACCTACTTCAAGAAGAAAAAACAAAATACAAACTATTTTTCATCAAAGTACAATGAGACAGTTGTAGATTAATGGACAATATTTATAAACATTCAAGAGGCGCCTAGGCGTCATGATGAATGACTTTTTTCTAACTTGTCATCGATGGTCTTCCGAAGAGAATACAAATAGCTCAAAGATGTCACTTGTTGTTTCACCTATAGAAAGCAATGTATAAGTTTCTTTCACGAGTATAAACTTCGCTCAAAAGGCGCTTTGAGAACGCTTTCTGTAGTTCAGATAAACAATGTAGTATGCTGTTTTGAACAACAATTCTCTCCCTCTCTAAATCTTGTTTACTCATTTCTGCAACTTTCTCATTCCATTCCATCATTTTCATCAAATCCTCAGGTGATAAATCAGCTGAAACTGTGCAGCATATTAAAAATATATATGAATACCAGTGGTTTCCTCTTCTCCGAGGACTTGCAATAAGTATCGAGCTCGTGCGAGTGGTTCAGACAACGTTTTGAATGCCCTATTCAGTTTACGGGAATGCTCATCGGACATATTTTTCTCAACTTCTGAAGAACGTGCAAACTTATCAGGATGTAGCTTGAACTGTAAATCTCGAAATCTGTAAAATTGATCATACTCGGATAAGCAAG